CAAGAAATTATGACCTTTGTCTTTGTCTACCAGTGCAGGTGGAGAAATACCACCAGGTCAGGGCAGGGCTAGGCGTGTCTTAGCTCAGTGTGTCCTTGGGCAGTGTTCACTGTGGTTGCTGTGGGAGATTGGTTTGTGGTTCCCAGGCCAATGGAGTTATGCTCCCAGGGAGATTATGGCTGCCTCTGCTGAGCCATAGAGGTTGTCAGGGCTATGGGGACACAGGCAGTCACAGGCAGCCTGCAGTCCTAATGACTTCTCACTCCAATTGTGCCCTCACCACCAGCACTGAGTCTATTTCCAGGTAGCCAGTGACCAGGGCTGAGAACCTGTCTCAGATCACGAGCCTCCCATTGAGAAAGCAAGCAGACTCAGTTTTTTGGTGTCTCACGGAGCCTGTAGAGGTTATCCAGCTCCTTCAAAGGGGGTCTTTGGATTCTCTCAGCTTTCCTGGTATGTTCCTACAGTAGTTCTTGGAGCAAAAGTTCATGATGTGAGTCTCCATACACTTCTCTGTCTGTCCCAGCAGGAGCTGCAAATTAGTCTGGCCTCCTATCCACTATTTTAATTGATAATTATGACCAAAATATTTAGAGACATTTTGACAGATTGAAGATTCACTGCTATTATTAAAATATAGCACTTGGGATGACCATGCTCAGTTCATAGGATGCCATCATCAAACAGCCTTGCTCTCTCCCTCCATTTATTCTTTAAACCTGCACAGTGGGGCATGTCCTTTCCTGGCAACTCCAGTCACTCTTAGGCAATAATTTAAAAAAAAAGCATTCAGGTTAAAACACCAGATAATTCAGTACCTGAAACATCCAGCATCATATGATAGCAAAAACACTGGACTTGATTTAGAATTGTATTTTCTTTCCTCCTCCAGCGTGGGCCCACCCCAGCCCTGCAGTCATGGAAGGAGAGTGGACAGCTTTCCTTTTTCTCCTCAGCATTCCTTCACCCCTTCTCTTCTCTTGGCTAGCTTCAGTCTCAGACCCCACTAAGTTGGGTTGAGAGAGAGGAGGAGGGAGGAAATATAAGAGAAACACTAAAGTGCTTACTTTACTGCTGATGAATTGTTGGTCTAGTTTCAGTGCTCTCTGAATCTAGCAGATATGTAAGTTGACTTCTCTGTGGAGTTCCTTTGTGTATTCTTCGCACAAATAGAATACCCTCCCCCCGTTGCTGAGGGTCTCCTATTTGTAGCTCTCTGAGACAAAAACAATGTATTGCTACTGGGCTACACCTTTCCTGACCGTTAGGCTCTTGGCCACACCTCCAACTAATTTCTGCTATGCCTTTTGGATAGTACCTAAACAATCCTGATATGGCTGTCTCTGGTGCATAGCCCACACCTTGTTCATGGGAGACAATCAAGCTTCTGCAAACTCTGGGAGTACAACCACGTCTCCTAGATCCACAAACAAAACAGCCAGCAAGCCTAGATGCTATCACATCTAGATGTCAGATGTGATTCAGATACAAACCTACTTGTCTCCCAAACTGCATGAACTGCTGAGGACAGATGTGAAGCCCTCTGTCTGCCTCTTTAAAGGCCCTCTTTCTTGACTTGAAGTGAAGCAGAAAGCAAGACTAACCACTGGCTCTCCTTGGTTGAAGGGCTGTGGACTCTCGGCACATCGATAGCTTCTTTGAACAATCCCTGCAAAAATGTCCAATTATTGATCCTTTTAAGGAATGATTAGTTTTACAAACACTTTATAACACTTTTTTGGTAAATTTTGCAAATAGTCTTGCTCTTTAAAAAATTTATTTCTTGATGCTGCAAAGAAAATATTCACTGAAATATCACATTACATGAACATCGTTTTTCTACCCTCATTTAAAAAACAAAAACAAAAACAACTTTTCCAACTAGTCACAGAAAGAATTTTGTTACATGGTTATAGGATTGGCTGCATCCAGGGATAGATTGAATGGATGACAAAGTGAAACCACGCTTTCTTTTTGAAGGTTGTATTTTCACTTTCCTTAGACACCCTTTCTTTTCCAGGGTGCCCATAGATGAGGAGCTGTGCATCTAACAGGAATTGCTTACAGTGATTGATTTCCTCTATGCTCATGACTCCCAAATCTGTCTTTGTGCCCCAGACCTCTTTCTGAGATGCAGATCCGTATATCTGATAGTTTACTGTAGTTCTCTGATCAAAGTATTACAAGCTTAATTCATATCATCATTACTCTAAATACCATTCCTCATTCTGATTATCTGTATACCTTTATGTAATTTCTCTCTAGTGTTAATAAATGGTACTTAGAAACCCTTAGTTGTTTAAATCAGAAACCTGGGAGTCATCTACAGATTCTTAAGCTCTTGTCAACCACGCCACTTTAGCAATCTGGTGATGTTTATGGCTGCCTTTCAAAATAGTATTTGTAAGTATACAGGCCTACTATGAAAACCAGTGATATGGAAATATAGTTCTGTTATGAATGACTTGGAATCCATGAATTATCTTCTTTCTCATCTCTCACATTGATTCAGCATATCATTCACAGATCATCTCCTGAACAGCAGTCAGACTCATTTTATTTTCTCTGTCTTCACCAATACTTTCTTACTTCAGTCCTTCATCATCTCTCACCGAATGACTGCAGTTTCATTTTAAAAAACAACTTATACTGCTAAATTTCAAATATAGACAAAGGACACAAAATAGTATAATGCACCCCCATGTTGCTATTACCTAGCTTTGCATTTCCACTGCCCCTCTATGATAATGATGGATTTATAGACTTTATTTTAAGTAAAAATTATAAACTGTCTTAGTTTGTTTTGTGCGGCTACAACATGGTACCCAGACTGGGTAATTCTTTTGTCAAATGTCTGTTCAAGTTTTATTTTTCACTATTTTTAATTGTTTAAAAATGTTTATTAGTAGTTGTAGGACTTAAAAAAATTCTGGATACAAATAGTTTATCAGATTCATGGTTGGTAATTTTTTTTTCCAATCTAAAGCATGCATATTAATTTTCTTAAGGTAATTTTTATAAGCAAAATTTTTTAATTTTTTAAAATGGTATTGTTTTCTATGTCTTTCCGAGAAATCTTTACTTGTCTGCAAGTCACGAAGATCTTCTGTTTTCTTCTAAAAATTTTATATCTTAGCTTTCACACTTAGATCTATGATTCATCTTGAATTAATTTTTATGCTTGCTATAAGATAGAGGTTGAGGTTCATTTTTTTTTCCATATGGACATCTAGCTGTTCCAGCATAATTTGTTGAAATGACTCTCTTTGCTTTATTGAATTTCTTTGGTGACTTTTTCAAAAGTCAATTGACAATAGACTTATACCATTCCTGGACTCTGTATTCTGTTCTGTTAATCTATTTTTCTATCTTTATGCCAATACCATGCTGTAGGTTTAAAGTAAATTTCAAGTCATGTGGCGTAAGTTCTCCATCTTTTTTCTGTTTTCAAGATTAAGTGTTCTAGATTCTTTACATTTCCAAATAAATTTTAGAATTAACATGTCAATTTTTATTTTCAAAAGCTCTGCTGTGGTTATGATTGGGATTTCATTAACTTAGAAGATTAACTTTTATGTATAGTTTTTTTTCAGACAGTGATTTGGGAGAGAGAAGATTTATTTGCAGATTTTAGGGCTCACTGCCTTCATGACTTCTCCCTATTCAACATATTCCCCCTAACTTTCTGCAGTTTTGCCTTCCCTTAAGTTATCTGATACCTTGATCGACTAAGGAAACTGAGGCTTTCCACAGCTGCAGCTATGTGCAAATTGGGAGTGCTCACAGGCAAATATTTACAAACTTGCAAATTTTATTTATTGCAGTTTGTGTTTTAATGGTGATCTCTGCTTCAGATTTTGCCTAACCATGATCACTTTGCAGTGCCTTTGAGTCGTTGTTGTTTTTTTTTTTTTTTTCCACTTGTCCAGATTTAACAATTGTACCTGTGGAACAATTGTTCTGACCTAGCTGCTTTTCTATTAACAGAAGACAGAGCACTTCCTTCTTGCCTTCTCTTTCATCTCCCTCTAACACATCTGCCCATTGTCCCCAAACTAATCTTTCAAAAACGCAACTTGAGCAAACCATTTTCTGGTTGAAAGCCCATCAATGACTCTTCATTGCTTTCTCTCTGCTTTCTTACTTTCCTTTTTTAGATTCCTCCTCACTTATCCCATGCACTCTCTGGCTTTATTGAACCATCTGGCATTCTCTAGACATACCCTTCCCTTAAAAGTCTCCCCATCTTGGGCTTATATCATGCCCCTGACTAAAATGCCTCTATGTTCTTTGTAGGCTGGCTGACTCCTAGTCCTTCAAAAGTCAGCTCAAAGCACTAACTAATTGTGGAAAATGTCTGGGCTTTATTGAAGTGGGCTACTCATACTTTCATATTTTCCTATTGTTTTTGTTATATTTTAGTATCACAAAGGTCATCATCTTGTATTTAGCCTTTTTAAAAGGCCTTTTCTTACAATTGATTATTATCTCATTACTCCTCCTTTTCTCTTGTATTTTGCTGCTGCTTCTCCATTCTACTTTTGCTTTGAGCCTCTCCACATAAACCTGCCCCCTTAAATATCTGTCATTTATCACAAGGGCTTTCTCCTATTGTCATTCTTTGAGACACTGATAATCCACTTCTTCCATTAAATTGTCCTGTACCAATCATAGATGGTTGATTGCATGGTTTTATGAAATAGATAATATAAAATAAAAACCGAAAGTTTCTTCTTTAAGTACACCTGCCCCCAATACGCCTCTTCGCCCACCCTCAGAGGTAACCATACTTAACCATTTTCTGTGTTGTGTATCCTATATTTTTTCTAAGCATCTATAAATAAACACATACACGTAGTAAGATGATGATAAAAACGTTTAACCACTGCATGGTAATATAAAACTTAGCACTTAAAAATATGTTCCATTCTTTAAGCAGGCCAAACTCTATATAATTGCCTACCAGGTGATCTATGTTAGAAGCTAAATCATTCATCAAACTATTCCAATAATTTTCAAAGCTTTTATTGATTTTTAATGGGTATGATCTTTTTTTTGATGTAGCTGTCGGTAGCTAAGTGATGGCCTTGTATCAACGTGATTTGAAACAGGGAAACACATCAATCTATTCCTCTGATTCACTCATTGCATTGTACTGCCACTTGCTTCTTTTATTTAAGAATATACTTTTGATATCTCTCCCTGTGAGAATATAGTAAATCTACTTTACTGTATCTAATGATAGGATAGTATTCCATAATATGGATATAAATGTATTTGCCAAGTTCCCTACTGTTTAAATGTTTCCAGTGTTTTACTATTACACATAATATCGCTAAAACATTTTCTTACATCTTTGTCTGTTTCAGTAAATACTGTTGTAAGATAGACTTATAGATGAGGAATTGTCGGTTCAAAATAGATGTGCCAATCAACAATTTGCCCACTTATAAGTAACACTACACACATCCTGTGAGCACGTGCACTGACATACACATTATCACTTGAAAATATAAATACAGATGCAAACACAGGTGAGCACTACATTAATTCTAAAATTCATTTGAGAATTTGGCACCATGAAGGTATATAGCCACATACCCTCAGGTAGGCAAGACAGGGGAATGGCAGAGGTACCTTGGTAGAAAGTGAAGGAGAAGAAGAAAGGCTGGTGGTCCAGAGAAGTCAGTGTTTCCTTGCATGGAGTGAGTGCCTGCCTATCAGATTTTGAAACAACTTCTTAATTGTCGTCTTTGTTTCATTATGGTCCTCCTAAGCATATTTTGCGTTTTTCTAAGTTAAAGATCATAGCTTCATGACATAATCTTTGGACTGGTTTTCCCCACTTATATGAGAAGAACTAATGATGCCCCATGGAGCATACCTTTTCAGGACTCAAGAAATCTAAAAAAAAAGAAAAGAAAAATGAGTCAGAACTTCTGCCTGTGAGTCTGAGTCAGCTTAGTTTGTTAAAAAAAAATAAAAAAGAAAAGAAAAAAAAAAAAAGCCGTGTGAGAAGACCTGCCTGGAAAAACTGCTGAATGGAAAGACTTGAGAGCAGCTTATAGATATTGATGGCAGATGAAGAATTTTCATGTCTTTTCAGAAATGGTTAACAGCCACTCATAACAGTCCTGTGACGTCACAGAAATCTTGACTCCTGCTTGTCCTTCTCATTCTCCTTTAAGCCCTTCCCTCCTCCTTTTCATATAGGACCTTAGCACAAGAGGGTCAGGAAGAGAAGAGAAGGGCTGCTCACAGGAGGACAGAAGCCAAGGTGTAGCTGTTATTCTACCTGGCGGGCCATGTTTCGCCACAAATCAGGTGGTCTCTTTGGAGGAGATGGCACTCGGTAAGGGAGGCTTCTTGAGCGCTTGACTACCGCTAGCAACTCAGAATGTGGGACCGCTGGAAGGAAAAACACCCCTGGATGGGGCGAAGGTTGAGTTCAATTTTATTTTTTACTTTGTGTGTGTGTTGGGGGAGGGTAATGGGAAATGTGTGTGTTGTAGACACATTAATACAAGGAGAATAGTGGATGCAACTTTATTATCCTCATTCACATAAAGGTGGACATTTTAATTTTTTTACAGTTGGGAAAAATAAACTTCTGAGTTGATTTAGTATAGTGGAAATTGCATGAAAACGTTTAGTTTCCTTTGTTTTCACAAACATGTAACCTTCTAAGAAAATCTCTCTTTGATCTATTTCAAAGTTTGTTTTTTTAAGCAGTTTGGAAAATAGGGGCTAACATGAATTGCCCCTTTTCCAACAGTGAAAATGTTTTTAATGTACCTTTTCATGTTGCTCTAATTATGACCATAAGTTCTTTTTTATTCAATCTTGAATCAGTTAGATTTTAAAATTATAAAACACTGGCCAAAATTAGTCACCCAGGAAATATTACAAGGGACCCAGTTAAGTAAGTTTAAGTGACTGAAAAAGTTTGGTGACATCTCATTGACGCAGACCTGCTAATTTGTTTGTAAACTTCAGAAGTATTACCATACATAATGTCTATGGATTTAGATATATGATTTTTCTCACCTTGTAGACATCCTCCTTGTTACAATAGAAGGAACATGGATTTAGAGTCAGGCAGCCTTGGATTTGAATCACTTTGCTACTTCTGTGGCCCTTAGCAGGCTCTATGGCCTCTGTGAGCCTCAGTCTCCTTATCTGTAAAATGAAAATAATGTCTACAGGTTAGTATTATAACAAGGGTTCATTCAGATTAACTTTGTAAAACCTTGCTCATATTTGGAAAATGTTTGTTTCTATTTTTTATTTTTGTTTTGTATTTTGGTTGTTATTATTGGCTTGTTTTTCTTTCTAGACCTTGGATTCTCCTTCACTTTATGTGGAATATGATCTTCTTGTAGTAGATAAATTTGAATCCTGCCAACAGAATTTTTCTGAATTGGGCTCTTGTCTTTTCTTGACCTACAGCTGCCTATTCAGTTCAGCTCCTTGATCAACATCTTGTCTGTCAATTCCTGTGTGCCCCCACGGATCTACTAAAGCATCCTCAGAGGAGGGTCTCTCAAGGTCACTGGGTTTCAGGGCTCCAGCTTTTCCCGGGGACCAGAATACCTCTTCAGGGGCTGACACTCTAAGGCAGTAATGTGTTTCTCTGGCTAAGCGCCTGAGAGTATCTTCTTGGCAAGTTCATTATTTATTCACTGTGACTGGTGTGAGGGTTTTCCCAAAGTGTCATGTCTTTGCATAGTTTTTCCTACCCCCCTGTGCTATAAATGTGGTGCTGTTTTATGCATTTGTGTTTGCTAACATGAATTATAAATAATTCTAAGGGATTTTGCAGATGATTTTACTGGTTCAAAATAAGTGGACGTTTCGTGAAGCATGGAGTTGCTTTGGTACAGTTTGTAGAAGTAAAATGTGGTATAATGCTATTGACCCATGGGTCCTTTCTTGTACACAGTGTCACTTGCTGAGAAGTAAGCAAAAAAGGGAGTGGATTCCTGCATCTGGCAATTCACCCTCTTCCTGCAACAGTAACTCGTAGAACAACTTATTCCATTGTGACACTGACTCACCCTTCCCCTCTCCACCCCCATTGTCTAGTTCTGATGTGCTCTGTCCCCATTAATTCTAGGGTCACACTGACTTATACCTTCTTCATCCTAAGTGGGGAAGAAAGCTTGTCTGGATGGATGAAAGTACAAAAACAGAAATGCCCTTACTTTTAATGCAAACAATATATGTTTGTTGAATGTAGAATACAACAACTTGGAGTAACTGCTGACAGTGTTTCCAAATATTTTGGGTCTATTTAAGTAAAAAGACATGAATAATTTGAAACTGGCATTCGTTTCCTTCTTCTTCTTCTTCTTTTTTTTTTTGAATTAGCAATACATGTGATGAAACCTTAAAAACAAATTCTCATTATTAAGACTGGTTGCTTTTAGTGAGCAGTGAGCAGGATGGGGAACAGATCTGGGGGCTTAGGCTGTTCATTATAAACCATTCTACAGGCTTTCTTTTTTTCTTTTTTAAAGTTTGGATGTTTTTTATTTTTTATTTTTTTATTATACTTTAAGTTCTGCGGTACATTTGCAGAACATGCAGGTTTGTTACATAGTTATACACGTGCCATGATGTTTTACTGCATCCGCCACCCCATCATCTACATTAGGTATTTCTCCTAATGCTACCCCTCTCCTGCCCCCCACCCCCTGCTATCCCTCCCCTGTCCCCCCTACCCCCTGCTATCTCTCGCCTAGCCCCCCACCCCCTGACAGGCCCCTGTGTATGATGTTACCCTCCCTGTGTCCATGTGTTCTCATTATTCAACACCCACCTAAGAGTGAAAACATTTGGTGTTTGGTTTTTGGTTCTAGATAAACACTTCAGCAAATTCTCAGGATACAAAATCAATGTGCAAAAATCACAGGCATTCCTATACACCAATAATGAACAGAGAGCCAAATCTTGAGGACTTCTTTTTTCTAACCAGGTGTATATGTTTGATATTTTTTGATACCTCCCTTAAGTAGGCCCTGTCCAAATTAAGTGAAATCTGTTGAGTGCCTTGTGTCAGACACTGTGCCAGTCACCCAGGGCTCCAGGGTGAGTCAGGAATAGCTCTTGCATGTGAATTCATAGTCTAGCTTGGGAGACAGAATAGACCAAAGGCAGGTAATATTTAAATAAGATGATGCTGGCTAAGAGAGAGGTGGCCATGGAGTTAAGTGTCTTCCTCTCCATTTTATTCATGCTTTTGTTTTAAGATTCTACCTTTATGATGTGTGTATTTCAGCAGAGTTCTGTATCATAATTTTGGATTTAGTGGAAAAAGAACATTTGAGATTTTCTTGTTACCTTAATTTTCCCAACATGGAAGATTCTGGAATGAGGAAGGACATTGCAAAGAGTGAGGCCTAAAAACCAGTCATGATTTTTATTTTGCTACTTTATTTATGGATATGAATGCACACAGTGTAGAATAGCCTTAGCTATGAATTGGAACAAGGTCTTGTAAAGTGCCAGGACATTATTTCCAGAGGCCCACAGCTGCTGATTCCTACACCCAGAGATTTCCACTGCCTTTTAATGATTCTGTAACTCCCAAGAACAGTGTCATCTTTTTAGAAGATATTTCCCAGTTTGAATTGGAGACAAACCAAGCATCCCTCACAGGCTGAGTCCTTCTGGTTTTACTGTCAAAGCTTCCAGACTTACCCAAGGTCTGTTAGACATATTTGAATGAATCTGTCAGATTGTGCAGTAGTTAATGAGGCCACACTTTCCATGAAGATTGTAACAGCATTGCTTTGTGTACCAACAATTGCATCAAATCACAATGATTCTTAAAATATCATTGAAATATATCATTAAAATATTGTTGAGATAAAGATGCATATTTTTTGGTATCTGTTTATTCCTTTGTCTTGTTTAAGAGAGATTTACTTAAATTTGTACAAAACTGTTTTCTGGCATACTCAATGTTATGGGTTTGTGATTTCCACATCACTAAAAGTATCTGGAATACATATAACGCAATGTGACTCTTGTTTTCAGAAGTAGTCGGTAAATGCTTTGTTAGAGATTTAAGAAAGCTGGCCAGGCGTGGTGGCTCATACCTATAATCCCAGCACTTTGGGAGGCTGAAGCAGGAGGATCACCTGAGGTCAGGAGTTCGAGACCAGCCTGGCTGACATGGAGAAACCCTGTCTCTACTAAAAACATACAAAAATTAGCTGGGCATGGTAGCTCACACCTGTGATCCCAGCTACTCAGGAGGCTGAGGCAAGAGAATCGCTTGAACCTGGGAGGCAGAGGTTGCTGTGAAATGAGATGGTACCACTGCACTCAAGCCTAGGCGACAGAGGCAAGACTCCATCTCAACAAGAAAAAAAAGAATGAATATAATTGCGAAGATAAAACGTAAACTCAGATTGGGAATAAGAAGGAGAATTATACCAAATGGAAGCTGATGATCATGCAGATTCTGTCCTTCCTTACTCATTCAAGGCTTGCCTTATATACCATAGGTAAAGTAGGTGACTCTTTCTGATTTTCTTGGTTCACTTCAAGACTATATGATATTGAAATTTTAAATAAGCTAAAAGGCCCTACAATATTTTGTTAAAATCCACTGAGTATAATTTATTGATTTTTATGAAACTAATTTTTATTTTATGTTATTTTACTTTAAGTTTCGGGATACATGTGCAGAATGTGCAGGTTTGTTACATAGGTATACATATGCCATGGTGGTTTGCTGCACCTATCAACCCATCATCTAGGTTTTAAGCCCCTCATGCATTGGATATCTGTCTTAATGCCCTCCCTCCTCTGCCTCTCCCCCAACAACTAGCCATGGTATATGTTGTTCCCCTCCCTGTGTCCATGTGTTCTCATTGTTTAACTCCCACATAAAAGTGAGAACATGCAGTGTTTGGTTTTCTGGTTCTGTGTTAGTTTGCTGAGAGTGATGGCTTCCAGCTTCATCCATGTCCCTGCAAAAGACATGATCTCATTCTTTATAATGACCGCATAGTATTTCATGATGAATACATCCCACATTTCCTTTATCCAGTCTATCACTGATGGGCATTTGGGTTGGTTCTAAATCTTTGCTATTGCAAATAGTGCTGCAGTAAACATACATGTGCATGTGTCTTTATAGCAGAATGATTTATAATCCTTTGGGTGTATACCCAGTAATAGGACTGCTGGATCAAATGGTATTTCTGGTTCCAGATTCTTGAGGAATCGCCACACTGTCTTCCACAACAGTTGAACTAATTTACACTCCTACCAACAGTGTAAAAGTGTTTCTATTTCTCCGCAGCCTTACCAGCATCTATTATTTCCTGATTTTTTAATAATTGCCATTATGACTGGCATCAGAGAGTATTTCATTGTGGTTTTGATTTGCATTTTTGTGGTGATCAGTGATGATGAGCTTTTTTACC